TATAGTGCCTTTTATGATTTTAATTGCATGGTACTGTTAGATTCATAATAACCTTTGAATTAAAAAAAAAAAAAAGGAATCGTGGCCTTCCAAGCCATAAATGGGCAACCGGTAACACATATCAATTTAACTATTTAACAAATTACACAATACCATGGCTCAAGCCATGACTTCGACATATATATATATATATATATATATATATATATATATATATTGGTGCAACCGGTAATACATATCAATTTAACTATTTAACAAATTATAAAATGTCATGGCTTAAGCCATGACTTCGACATATTTTTGTTTGCATTAATTCAATGCATGACATAGGCTATGGCAATTGTGCCATTGCTTAAAACATCAAAGAAAACTTTCATTATGATGATGACGTCAAACGATAAAGATGTCCCTTATGATGATGATAAAGATATTCTATCACACGAGTCAAAACATGAATCGATATAACAAATTGATCAATTCCAGGAATCAGTTGATAAATTGACTTCTACAATTCATAAATTCACAACTCCAGTTGATAAGTTGACGTTTGCTCTTCATTAGTCTTTCCCACCCCATAATTCTTTATAAAGTTCTCAAGAGTTGTTACATGTTTGCATTAATTGGTAGTTCATATGATTTTTTTTTCACTTGACATTTCTAATGATAGCGATTCTCAAGAGTTTTTGTTTTAATTTTATGATGTTTAAATTTCTAAATTTGATATTATATTTAATTTATTATTTGCGTCATTAGGTATAAACCAATACACTTTCGATTGTCCGTTTTTTTTTTTTAAAATACACTTTTGATTGTTCATGAATAATTGTCTCGTATGATTTAGTATTTCATTTATGCTTGTTATAAAGTAATTTATTTTTTTTATCATTACGTCCATAATTGTGAAAATTTTTATTAATCACTTCTGATTGCAAAACTAATTTCTCTAAAGCCAGAAGATTGGATGGTGGTTAACAATAGTCATAAAAATTTCCCAAAACAAAAAAAATATCTTGCTTCACAGACATTTAATGTAAAAAAAAATTAAATTAACAAAATTTTAAGTTCGAACTCACAATATATATATATATATATATATTCATGATAATTAAAAAATAGCCATTTACAAATGACTAGTAACACAAATTAATTTTAAATCAATTGATGAGTGACAAGCTCGTCACACTAGTCAAATATTAATTACCTACTAATACAATTACTAGTAGTAAAGCAGAAAGCAGGGTCGATCCCACAGAGAAGGAATACTGATTACCAGGTATAAATTACTCCTATTATTATCTAGATAAATGATGATCTCAGATTTATAAAATTTAAAACTAAAATAAATAAATAAAATAAAGGCAAATAATATTAATTCAAATAATCAGACAAAGAAAACCTAGGACATTGGGTTCACCTACCGAATATTTGGTTTGATTCAATTCATAACTATCTGACTTTTAATTTCCATTAATCTCACAACGACTCACCTAATTAAGAACTATACACTCTTGTGCTATAATTCTCTTACTTAGATTAACCCTATGACTACTCTCGTGACTATAGGATTAACAAAAGCACATTAAGACCATTAAGAATCAAATATTGCAAAGGTTATAATCTTACTCTTGTAGCTTACAACCTAAGTTTATTATTCCTACGAACTAATACTAATCTTCTACTTTCGCTACTTCGATTAATATCTTCAGACATGCAAATAGTGGCCAATTACTTACACGAATTAAAACAAGAATAACAAATATTAATTAATGAAAAAATTAAATAATAATGAACTAAATAAACCAAATAAATTCGGCTACACTTAAGCCCTAGATTAAAAGAATTTAGCCACTAAACATTATTAAAAATAATTCAATATTAATAATGTTCATTGAACTAAAATTCAATAAATAAAACTAAAATTAAAATGAGGGAACCGTGGGGATGTGTCCAGCCGTGAAAATAGCAACTCCAAAACTCTTGCACCCGTAGTTGGTCACCTCTGCTGCTGCTTACTTCTATGCGTGCCTTAGTTTCGACGGAGTGTAGATAGAGGATGATGGTGCCTTGATGTGGAGGTTGAGAGGAAGGGGCTGCCGTCGGTGGTGCGTGGAGGTGAAGGTGAAGCAACGATGAAACTTCAGCAAGGTGGTGGTGATGCTGCCGGTGAAGGAGGAGGGAATGTGGTGGTGCGTGGAGGTGAAGAAGGGCTGGTGCGTGGACAGCAAGGTGAGGCAGCATGGGAATGGAGGAGAGGTGGAGCGGCGGTGGAAGTGTTTTGCAGCCGTAAGGTTTTCGGCCAGTTTTCAGTTCAATTCTGTTGTAAAAATAAATCCCTAATCCTCCTTTTATAGGCTTCCGTCAAAACCCTACTTCTTGGAGAGCAAGAAAACTTGTTTCCCAAATAATATCGGGATTAAAATTCTTATCCAATTCCAATCCAAAATCAGCCGCACCATCATCGTTTGTTCGGCCAATTTCCAAAAACTAAAATAAAATTCCAAAATTGCATTATCGGTCCTCCAATTCTCTAAAATCATTAATTTCTTCCCCATCAATTGCTCCAATCTTCAATTCATTCCTATTGAGTTGCTTTTAATTCGATTTTAGCTCAAAACTTCAACAATTCTTCATTTGAGTACAATTCCTACAATTAAAGTTAAAATCACATAAATAGCATATTTGTACTCAAAATATATTGCACAAATCACAAATTAGGGATATAATAAATAGGTAAAATATAAGCATATCAATGAGCTTTTAGTGGCCTTATTTTTTGATAATTTATTTTCTTCAAAATTTATCCTTTAAGAAACTCTTTTTTACTAACTAATCTTTAATTATCTCGAACACACGATTAAAATATAATGGACTATTTTACATAAAAGTTTCTTTTGTTTCAACAGATTTTAATCTCATCATGAACACATCATTTCTAGCAATAAGATCTTGTAAACATTATTTTGTTATATTTTCTATGAATAAATCAATTCATAATTTTCATTAGGTTAACTACAGCGGTACCTAACGGGGCTAGTATTCAATTTATTTTTGTAAATAAATGGAATTCAAGTAATGGTGCATGAGACTTAACACTGTTATAGAAGTAATTTGCTGGCTATTTGAAAAGTATAAAAGATGAAAAAAAAAAATAATTACACTCTACATAACCTTAGATAAAGTGATCTTTATTGTTCTAAAAAAATTGACCCAAGAGCTTTGATGGCTTATATGATCCATGCACTATAAAGGAAAGTCTATTTGAAACCAATCTAGCCATAACTCCAGTTAAACCAATTCTATAGTATTCATTCTATTTTCAAATCACAGGTCATTGAAATAAGTATTTTGACATATTTTGATTTATATATCTATCAAAACATACACATATTACTATATCCATGATTTCAAACATAATTTATAGTTCAGGTAATTGTACATATATTTGTCATTATATCGGAGCTCCACATAACCAAGTCATTTATCATATAATAAATTAAAAAGGATTCATTATGTTTAGTAAAATATTATATTTGCGTATTCCTTATTGATGTTCAGCTATAATTACTATGAATTCTTTAGCATACATTGTAAAAATATATTTTTGATTTTCCAATATTAATACTTCCGCGCATATGTCATGACATTAAACATAGGACTATGTTATACCTAAAAACTATGACAATAATATTATACAAAACAATTGCAGAGTGACACACATATCTCGTAAGAAACTAAAATACACATCTTATCACATAACATATAATGTATTAAAATCTATTTTGAATATAAATATTGCTACATTTAATTAAAAAAAAAAAAAACAATGGAAGCCATAGCCTAAACCATGACATAAGTCACCATTAGGCCATGGCTTAAGCCATTGCATAGGCTATATCTTAATATTTTATCCGTTTAAAGTGACTCATTGATCCTGATAATTGGGAAATTTTCTCTAATTCGCATACAAGTGTCAATCTTTAATTGACTATCATGTGATTGTATGGTGCTATAAAAATTGCAAACTGCACTGCAGAATTTTTCAATTGGGGGCCATTTTGTCCCCTTTTTTCTGTGCGAATTCTGGCAGCTTGAAACTGCGTTTTCATGAATTTATTCGGCCCAAATAAATTGGATTTCGACAGTATACGGTGCAGCTGGAGGAATGGCATTCAAAAAAATTTTAATCACCGATAACAACTTGGCTGACAATGAACTGGCAACGGAACGTGAACTTGACGACTTCGAATCGATCCACTTTCTCCGAATGGCAGGAGCTTTTTTTTTTTTTTTTTTTTTCTTTTTTTTGGGTTTGTTCATCTCGTACTTCTCTTATGGAGTAGCTAGTATTAATAAACAAGCCACGATGATCCTTTTTTTTTTTTTTTTTTTTTTTTTGCATTTTCATGTTTCTAATTAAGACATTGATGATTCCTTGAAACAAGGAAAAATAATGTATATGGAATTCAGAAGAAGTTTAAGATCCAATGTCATGGGCTATATAGTTTTAACTTTTCCAATTAAGATCTCATCAACTCTTCAACACTCTGCCTCCGCCATGCCATGGACTACTTCCTATCCACAGTTTCAAACAATGTCAACTACATATTATAATTCCTTTACTCATCCTAGGTTTTTTTTTCAAAAAACAAAAATAATAATTTTCCTCGCCAAAAATATTTTCTTATGGCTAAGTCAACCTAGAAATTTGCTTGTGCAGCTTCATAAGAGAGTTGACTTCATCTCGATAACTGGATCAAAGGTTCCCAATTCTTGCGCTGCTACTTCATGGTAATTTAGACATTATAGACATTTTCCACATCATGCGCATACGGAGCTTCTTCTTTGTCGAACCAATAACTTTGCATTAAGTGAAGAACATGATTTATGCTAATCTTCCGATTATAATAACGAAGGGAATTTCATTTCCTTTTCCTATATAAACCTCAAAAAGATGGCAGCAATGTGCAAAAACGGAAAATTAAGCCGATCTCAAGGCAGCTATGTGGGATTCCTTGGGGGGTCTGCTTCTAGGGTTTTTCTTGATTTCCCATATGTATTTGGCATATGGTAATGAGTTCCATATCAAGAGGGTTGGGTTAAATAAGATTGACAGGAGTGCTCAGCCACTATCACCCACCTTTGGTATAAATGCACTTAATCGTAGTAGTTTTCCCAAAGGGTTTGTGTTTGGAGCAGCAACTTCTTCTTACCAGGTATCTTCCAATTAAGATTAAATGTTACTCCTCGTCTTAAAATTATTATCCAATTTAGAAATTTAGTTTTAGTTCAAATTGTACTAAAAGTAATAATCTAAAGTGGACAATAATTTTGAAATGAATGGAGTATTTGGTTTCCTTTTTTTTTGCTTTTTTTTTATTTGATTGATGAATGTGTCTTTTTGCAAACATGAAATAAATCACCATTTTATGGAAGATATGATTAAGTTTTTTCTCCCTCTAATCTTACAGATTGAAGGAGGATGGAATGTTGATGGCAAAGGCCTAAGCAATTGGGATTATTTTACACACAAATATCCAGGTTCTATCTCTAATTTATGACCGTTTCAAACTTCGGAATTACTCCATACACTTCAAGAAAAATAAAACTAAATAAATAAAAATACAAAAAAAATTCTTGTATGCGCATGATCCTTTCTTAAACAAAAAAGAAAAAAATTTCCGATGTCAAGTTAATATTCGATTTATAACCCCATTAAAATGAATATTTTGAGTTTATCAACGGAACCCCGTTTGGCACCTCGATTTTCTTATTCATCACATCCAGGATTATTTAAGAAGATTAACGTAATTAATTTACTTAACAAATGTTGTACCTCAAACCAAAATTATTACGCCGATTGTTTTGAGTCAACTATACAAACAATCATTATCTTGGGTCATTTTCTCACGCACAAAACTGTGCATGAAATTTCGTCGATGGCCATCCTATGAGCTAAAACCATTTAGACGGACTTCTGTTTTCTATTTTCTGCAAGAAACTTGGGTAATCTAAACATGAATTAAATCCATATTTTGAATAACCTAAAATCGCAGGCAAAATACGAAATGGCAGCAATGGGGATGTTGCAGATGACTCCTACCACATGTACAAGGTACTGTGAAACTAATCAAACTTTTTAGTTACAGACAGATACAGTTCTGTTAAAAGAAAATTGTTAGCCAAGAGGTACGAAATAAAAATTTATTCAAGGAAATTTTACATGTTGCATTAATTGCTTTCATGGATGCAGTTTGATTACAAAAACAATTCATAAAGTTTTTTTTTATCAATTAATTTCGGCTTCTTAAGAAAAACTCGAAATGAATTATATTACAAGTCAACAAAAATAGATGTGATTTTCTTGAATTGATTTTTTAAGGTACAATATACTAGTTTAATCATTTCACTGAAAACTTTGAAAAGTGTAGAACAAATATTTATCTATTCATTTGGCAGGTAATTTGCCCTTTGCGCCTTTCATTAACTTATGAGCTACTCAGAAATTAATTCAAATGAGAAAATAACAAATCCTAGAAATAGGATCCGGTAGGTATGTATGTATAATTAATAAAAAGGTCTAATTAATAGTTAATAAAATCCGGATACCCACAAAGAAAAATATAATCCTCATTTAACCTATGGAAATTCGTAAGTCCAAATCACAATTATACTTCAGTTTCTTTTTTAGAATGAAAAGATTTAACGATTGGAAGTTGAAATCTCACTAGGTTTTGCCTTACTATATATTTCGTAGGAGGATGTCAAGCTTTTGAAGGTGATGAATGCAGATTCATATCGCTTCTCTATTTCTTGGTCAAGAGTTATACCTTGTAAGTCATGTTTTCTCCTTATAAATTTCGATTCAGTTCCACAGATCTTGGCTAAGTAGATCACACTCAACTTCGAGAAGGGATTTTTATTTTTAAATCATAATTTTGAGTTCTATTACATGTTGCAGCTGGCAAAGTAAGCAAAGGCATAAATGAGAAAGGAATTCAGTATTATGACAACCTGATCAATGAACTTTTGGCTAATGGTATGTCATAATACAACTTTTCCGGGGCCTCATAGAGCAATCATTTTAATTAATTTTTTAAAGATCGGTTACATAGATGGTCTCCTTTATTACAAATTCATACAAACAGGTTTAACACCCGTTGTGACTTTATTCCATTGGGAACTTCCTCAAGCTTTAGAGAATGAGTATCGTGGTTTTTTGAGTCCTAAGATTCTGTAAGTACATATATTTTATATCTATTTTGTTCCATATTGATAATCTTGTTTGTGCAGTATTTTTCTTTTAGTATGTCCAAAAAAGGGTGGGAAACAATGTGTCATACATTTCATGTTTAATAATAAGAAGAATTTGTATTAGGTAATAATACTTTTAAGTAACTCAATTCTTCCGTTACAAAAAATAAAAATAAAAAATCCTGGTGGCAGAAAGGATTTTCATGACTATGCAAATCTGTGCTTTGAGAGATTTGGTGATCGAGTAAAATTGTGGATCACATTCAACGAGCCATACACATACAGTTACTTTGGGTATGACAATGGGCTAAGTGTTCCGGGTCGATGTTCTTCGTGGGTGAGTCCGAATTGCAAATGGGGAAATTCAGGAACTGAGCCTTATTTAGTAACACACCATCAACTCTTAGCCCATGCCGATGCAGTCAGTTTATACCGGACCAAATATCAGGTCATTCTTCACTTTATAAATATTATCAAGAAATATATTTTTTACGTCCTAATAAAATAAATATTTAATTTCTGTTCCGAAATTATTATCCAGTTTAAATTTTTATTTTTTGTTCAATTTATTTTAAAATTAAAAATTAAAATCAGATAATAATTTTGGAGTAGAAGGAATATATGATACAACTCACTAGATAATCATTTAGGTTTTTTTTTTTTTTCCTTTTGTACATATATTATTCACAAGAACCATTTTCAGGCTCGCCAAAAAGGCATAATTGGAATGACAAACGTTGCTAACTGGATGATACCTATGACAAATTCATCTCTTGATCAACGCGCTGCCAGACGTGCCTTAGATTTTATGTATGGATGGTAAGTTTTAAGAGGGTACATTTACACTTTTTTTTCCCCCTTCAACATGTTCATTTTTTTCCAGACTAAAGTAATGAAACTTTATTCTTTCTTTGGAATCGCACCAAATTAGTTAAAAAGAGATTTACTTTGACATGTGTTTTGACTTTAATTTCTAGGTTTATGGATCCTCTAGTATACGGCGATTATCCGAAAACAATAAAAGTTGTTGTTGGCAATCGTCTTCCAAAATTTACACCAGAGCAATCTAAGTTGCTGAAGGGATCATATGATTTTCATGGAGTAAATTACTACACTGCAATGTATGCTTCCCACCCTATCAATCCTCCTAACAAAACCCATGCCAGATATATTACTGATTACCTTGCTGATCTTTCCGGTAATTCACTCTAATTAACTTAATTTATTACTTTTACATAACTCATTAGAAGCCTTTATACGTATATACTTATGCAGACTATTTTCTTCTGGTACCTATATGTGTTTGCATAGAAATTAATGTTTCTTTGTGTTTGGGTAATGGGAGCAACCCGCAACGGCGTATTGATCGGAGAAAAGGTGGATTTCGTAAATTATGATTATTGTTAATTTCATGTAATTTCATTTATACATATATACATTATCTCTAAATGGACAGAGATGGGGTTTTGCAGGCGGGCTCGGATTGGCTTCATATCTATCCAAGAGGAATTTTGGATCTTCTTCTCTATGTGAAGCATAAATATAATAATCCAATTATTTACATTACTGAAAATGGTATATCTTCTATTCCCTTTTGAGCAAAGCAAATTAACATGGTGGATACCACAATATGTATATACACTAACACTAATGAAACATCTTTTATTTATATATTTTCAGGAGTCGATGAAGTAAATAACGCATCATTACCACTTAAGCAAGCTCTTCAAGACAATTATAGAATCCGATTTTACTATCGTCATCTTCAATTCCTCCTAAAAGCAATCAAGTATGATTTCTTGATTTTTTATGCCGTATTATATACACCTATCCTTTTGTTTTGTTACCTTTTGTTTTCCTTGTTGTCTCTCTCCATTTATCTGCACAATTAATTTATGTTTTCGGTTATAAATTTTCTGTGTTCATTGCTGTAGGAATGGGGTTCGCGTGAAAGGATATTATGGATGGTCACTTATTGACAATTTTGAATGGATTAGTGGATACAGCGTTCGTTTTGGAATCAACTTTGTGGACTACAATACTTTAAAAAGATACCGTAAACTATCATCGTATTGGTTTGAAATGTTCCACAGGAAATGAAGTTCTACAGAAATGATTGAATTGTAAGAAGCGAATTTTCTGTTTTGGACTTCTTTTAATGACGGAATCTATTGTGTTGGACAATTTCATGGCTAGCCCATCGTTTTTTTCACATGAACTAATTAAATTTATATTTTTTCCGTCCTAAAATTATTGTCTAGTTTGTATTTTATTTTTAGTTTTTAAACTGAAGAATAATTGTATTGTAATATAATTAAAATAGTCCAACCAATAAATAAAAGATTTCCATGGGAAGATAGAATAGTAAATTACATTGCACTTTAACCATTTTCACATTTTTATATGGAGATCTCAACTCACCACTATGAAGATGTAGTATAGAGTTGTTGACCGGCTTGGATATCATAAACCTATTCTTAAACTTAATTTTACTCCTGAGAATTTCGATGCATTATTGTTCTTATAATTATGCCCTTCACATTATTTTTAAGGGCGGCTTGGTGGGTGATTGGTTGGTCGGTACGTTGTTTTCACATTCTTTTGAACAAAATAATTCTTTAAAAATAACTATATAAGTAACATTATTACTAGAAATATATGAGGAACTTAATAATTTTGTTTAGTTAAGACAAAGTAATCAGTGTGTATTACAGTCTTTGATTCAATCTCCAAGATACAACTAAAGTAATACTCCCTTCATTTCAATTTGTAGGTCGTTTTAGGTTTAGAGAGACTTTTCAAAATATAAATTATTTTACAAATTCTAGGCAAATTAATAACTATTTTTTCAACTTTACTTTCAATAAATGATGCCAATATATTTTCATTTAATCTCGTTTATTGTTCTAATGTAATTAATGAGGGGCAAAACAGATATGTAATACATAAATTAATTATTATGGTTGTCTCTTTAGTATACGTGAAAAGCCTAAAGTGACTTATATTTTGAAATGGAGGGAGTAATAAATTTTTCTTTCTTCCCTCTATATAGATATGCCTACTTCCAAAAATTAAATATTCTAAAATAAGGAATTGAAAAGACTCTGCTATAATGGCATAAATTTTCTTAGACATGCTTACATCTTTGTTGGTTCTCGTTTTGGACGGATTATATCGAGTGGCGCGAAGTGAAGGCCTTGCAAAAATATTTTTGCATATAATTTTCGTGGTAAGCTGTTTTCTTTAGTAGTTGTAATTTTTATTTTTTTTAATGATGTTTCTCTGCTAACCAATCTAAAATAAAAGAAAAATGATTGAGTTGGTAACTTTTACATGCAAAGTGGTCCAATTTAAAATTCTTGATTTTGGGTACTAATTAAACCATGGTTTCTTAGGTTACGTCACTACTCACTACTAGTCCTCGACTTAATAGGGTTAATTATGAAATCTGAATAATTACACCCCGTCCTTGTTTCCTACTACTACTATATTGAAAAGTCGTTGCTAGTTGTTGACATTTTTTGCTCCTTTAAAGGCAATAATTAACCTCAATGTTTGTCGATTATGATTGCTAAGTACTAGTGATCGTTTTCGTCTTATATAGAAGCTGCTTGGTGATTTATGGGATTCCTTCTTTTATGTGAGCAAAATGCAAAGTGTTTGGCGCTATATTTAGCGTAATAGTCCCCAAAAATGTTCACCAATTCAACACTTCACCATCTCAATGTCCTTAATTTTTACGATATATACCTTTTTTGAAAGGAAATAAATGTGCCCCTTCCAGGCATTTGAACCGTCTAAACCGCTTTCAAAACTTGTTTTTATTCTTCTATATACCAACATGTAACGTTTTCACAATGACTCCATATCTTTCATATTTCCAAGCCTATCAACCACATCAAGTCGTATGAAAAGCTCAGAGAATGATCAAAGTTGAAAAAAGAAACTTTTTACCGAATCAGAGATGGATAAACTCACATTTACTATAATAACTTAAAAATGCTTCAAATAAATCTCTGGTAGAGCATTTTACAATATATATATATATATATATATTTATATATATACTTTTTTATATATAAAAGTATATATATAAAAATAAAGATTGAGGGGGACTGTTTGCAACTAGCTAGAAATCGTATCATGGGAGCTGGTGTCAGTAGGTAGGTACTAATAACTACTAGTCTACCACGTGAAATAGGTTTGGTATCTACTCCGTAATGCAAACTACATATTAAAAGAGAGAAATGGCTGCTTCTTTTGATCAATTTATTATTCGTTGAAATTCTGTATTAGATTTAGTTGGAATTTTGGACACGAATAACTTGGTTTTGGTTATGACCAAAGGATTTTCAAACATACGAATCACACGAATGGTGGAACTTTGTGAAGCCCATTTGAATTTTTGTTGGGAAATCATGGGTTGAAGTTGAACACTATTTAGTCACGGAGAAAACTGATGAGATTCCAGTAGTTTAATAGTATTGTTTGTGTCAATGTCAGTCTTCATTTGAACAAAAATCAAGGAAAGACCTTGTGTTCGTCTTTTCCACGGTAAAAAAATAACAAATTTACAAATGCAGACTGATTTAGCAGTTGAAAGTTGAATCGATATAAAATTAGGAGCGAAGGAAATTAGATGATAACTAGCTAGCTTGATCAGGTTGAGGTTCAAGTCAAAGTAAGACATGTTTTGAGAAATGAATTTTGCAACAAATAGCTAAGCGTCGTAAGTGTTAGTGGTAGTTTGGGACATGGATTTCACTTTTTAGGATCAAACTGTAACCAGAACACAATATTATTGGTGTATCTTATTCACGATTTGTTTTAATTTAATGTTTTATTATGCAATTTTACCTCATTTTTTCTGAAAATGATAATAGTAGTGAGATTCTTAGTCCTTTTATATAGTTTGGGAAATCAAATATAAACCGGTTAACCCCTTGTAATGCGAATTAGTCCGAGCTTCACTAAGCTAGGGTGCATATTGTTCCTTTAGCGAGATTAAAACAAACATTTTACAGAACGTAATCACGTAGAACTAGTATTGTAGTTGGACTCGGGTAAAACAGTAAATTCTTGAAAACGAAATTACACTAGTGGAAGCAAAAAAAGTAAAAACAGAGGTAATTAAATTAATCAGACAGACCAATCAATATTGTAATGAAGAGAAAGAGAGAGAGAGAGGTTGCGGCGGTGAGGGTACTTCTCACTTGCCAAATACAGCCAATAAAATTCCGGTTAATTTTTGATTTCATAAAAAAAAATTTTCTTGTGAAAATTTTGCGTGCAAAATTGGGCAGACAAGGCCGCTATCTGTCACGCATTTTTTTGCTTCAAAAAGTCTTTCTCTCAAAATTTACATACAATTATTACTCTTGTCAAAACAAAAAAAAAAATACAATTATTACTAGTCAAGAACAAAATCAGATCTTGTTAGGAATAAGGCGCTAGGTAACCTATGCAATTTCTCTATTATTCTTAATAGCATCAAATTAAAATATTGAAATTTGGAATCAATCAGAAAATTGACCAAGCAGTTACCACTAATTTGGAAAGAGTACACATTATGCGTTTAAGTGATCCTTGTAATGAAACAAAAAGATTTCACTTTTAATACAATTTGAATTAGAAACAAAAACTTAAAAACAACAATAATTATGGGATGGAGGGAGTAAAGAGAAAACAAAAGTAACTATAATTTTTTTTTTCTTCATATTACAAAATATTTACAGTCAACAATAACGTGACTAAGAATGTTATTAACCCATAAGGTAAACTACATCCATGGCGATTCTGTCTATACAAAGGAGAATTATGAGGAAGATTTTTGCAGTTGGTAAAGTTTTTTTTTTTTTTTTTGGCAATCAATTATGAGGAGCATTTTGTTTACGAAAACTAAACAGAGTTTCTAATTCCAATTATTTCACAATCAAGTGGTGATTAGGTCAAGAATTCAGTAGTCAAAATTCGTACCAAAATGCATAATATCACGTTATATTGTCGATAGAAATGACAACATATGTACGACTTCGACTCCAATCGTAGAAGATTACTTTTTTTCAAAGAAAAAAAAAAGAAAAAGAGAGAGAGAGACAAAACTAAAAATAAAATGGGTTCGGGAATCTAGCAAAAGGACTCTGGAGACATGGATACAGAGAGTGATTGCAGTGAGCATGATGATGATGAGAGGGTTGTAGTACGGAATATTATCTCCTAAGATACTCTCCAGTGAGGATGGATGAATGCGGGCACAACTTCACTTTTTTGCATTATTGTTATTATTACTATTACTCACTCTCTCGTGCTTTTTTTTTTCTTTTAACTCTGACGTTCTCTGCTCCCAAATTGATAGGAGAGGAGAGAATCGCCACGTCTGTATCTTCTTCTATTAGGTCGATAGGTCCCAACTCCCAAGTGCTTTTCTGCCTAATTCCTTTTTTTTTTTTTCGCCTACACACAAAATTTTCCCACGTTAACCACATAAAGTTACGTTTGGATAGTTTTCATTATGGGTTTTAAGCGTTTTTCTATTAAAATATATATATGTTGGGTTGGGACCGTTGTTATAATAAATACTACTTCCGTTCCAAAAAAATAATCCATATTGATATTGTAAATTTGTACCCTTTTTTAGTATAAATTTCAAAACTCAATGTGAACCATATATATATATATTTTTTGAGACGGAGGGAGTAAAATGTTAAAGAACCATAAAAACGAAGCAACCAAAGATCTTCAGCTGGCAGCTTCTGAATGGGGGGATATCTCCCGGTGATTAAAAGCTTTTCAATCTTTACTAATCTCGTAGGGGAGACTAGTCAATCTCAAAATCTTCACTAAACAAAAGTTTATTTGTGAAACTGTAAAGTTTTATTGCTTAACGTAAGAACTTTAATCTCAAACCCATAAATTGATCAGTCAAGTTTAATTAACCTTTGAGTTCGTGGAACATAAACAATCAATCGATTTAACTCAAATGTGCCCATCACTAGCAAATTGCTAATGCGCGGTAGACATTAGTTCCCTTTATTATACACCGAATACGTAGTGCTGGGGATTGTGACTGGATTAACTACTAAACAGTAATAATGAACTGGACAAATTATGTACGCAACTCCCTGGTTGTAAATTTCAATACCAAAACCAAGGAAAAAACTATGGCTTATTGTATTGTCAAATTGTTGAAGAGAATCAGACACAAAACAATAATTTCGCAATCAAATTAAGATGCAATCTCTCTCTGAATTAGACTTCTTTGTATCATTCTCCCAACTTTCTCAGGCTATCAAAACCGCGGCGGCTGAAATCAAAGGGAAAGGGGGAAAAAAATGACAGATTAATTAAAACCAATAGTTGCATCTTACTTCTCTTGATTCACTTACTTATTTTTTATGACCACTTTTACTGACCCCCTTGACCTCTAATTTATTAAAACTAAAACTGCAACATATCAATTTGAAAACCCTATTAGAGAGAGGCATAGTCAGTTCTTAAGTCAAATCGGGAATTAAAACTATTAGGCACTTTTGGACTCATTAGGTGGAACCAGCGCAGTTATTATCAATCAAACTTATTGTTGAAGCAGCCATTTTTAATTAATTAATAACTAATCAATTTAAAACAACTCATCATTATTATTATACAGGTCAATTATTCACTCAGAATCAGACAATGATAGCTACACAAGAGAAAAAAAAAAAGAAAAAAAGAAGAAGAAGGTTTCATCATTTTTAAAATGGCACTGCATTCAGAGATCCCAAAATAGTAACCGTTGGACATTGATCGCTTGTACTAGCGCAAATTTAACACACCATTAAAAAAAAAAAAGAAAAGGAGAAGAAAAAAATCTGACATTTTAATATAGTAATAATATTATCACTATACTAATCATACTTGTAAAAAGCTACTACTGTAGAGTTCCAGGTCCACGTGTTCTGGGTCAGCACAACACGAAAGCCTTGCTGGATTCTCTACCCCTTTCCCCTGTTTGATTTCATCATCTTCTTCTACCTACTGGCCGGAATGCCAATGGTGAGCTCATTCAGGAAATCAAGCAGATTCAGAGTGGAGGAGCCGCCTTCCGCCACTGCTTCTTCCGCCGCCTTCTTGTATTTCAGTGCATTCTCTTTCAGCTCCGCGGCCTTGTTTCCGGCCGTGGCTTCCCGTATGCGTTCCTCAATTTCATCTCTAGGGATGACTCTGTTTTCAAAATCACCCCTCGACAACCTCAGCCCGACTTTGAATTCATCCACTAAGTATTTCGCATCGGTTACCTGATCGCCTAAATTTGGGAAACACAAAACCGGCATCCCGGAAGAAAGCGTCTCCATTGTTGAGTTCCAACCGCAATGAGTCACAAAACAGGCCACCGAAGGATGAACCAAAACCTGTTGCTGGTTGCTCCATTGAACAACTTTACCTTTATCACCGGCTTTTTCTAAGAACCCTTCCGGGAGATCGGTTTGGGGAGGCCTCATGACCCACAAGAACGATACGCCGGAATTCAGAAGCCCGTAGGCGATCTCATCCACCTGTTTTTGGCTCAAGATGACGGCGCTGCCGAATGAGATGTAAACAACAGAGGAAGCTGGTTTTGAGTCAAGCCAGTCATTGCAATCATCCGCAGCGTAGACGTTAACGCTTACATTAGTTGACCCGGGAGTTTTATTAATTGGGTAGCGAAACAGGGGACCAATTGGCTTGATGGGGCAGAGCTTTGACATGTAATTGATCACTTCATTTTCCAGCTCCTGGAATGACTCCATCAGTACACAGCAATTCTTGTTCAAGTTCTTGAACATTCCCAAAATGGAGTTTGTCAAAGATGGGTATTGAGTGTGGGGATGCAAGAAGCTGGGGATTTCGTCATACTTCAAAACCGGCATACAGGGCAAATGGACATCCAATTCAGGTTGGGATTCAGTTGGGAATTGAACGAGTTTGTGGTAATAGTGATAATAAGCTGAGAAACAGGCAGCAGATTGAACCCATAAGGGAGCAGAAGGGATTCGAAGAGACTCTCCAACATCGGCAACCCAAGGAATGAAGCAGCTGTAAATTAGGCAACAAACAGGGCGGCCCTGTTCGGCATTTTTCTGAAGCATTATTGGGAGCTTCTGCTTCCCAATGTTCTCAAGATTCGCAGCGTGCAAGTCGGGCTCGGTGATTTTGTCGCTTTCGTCGTCGAAGAACTCGAACCGGATCATACCATCACCAAATGGGGTGGGGATTTCGGAGATGTTCTTGTTGGATTTCCGAATCTTTTCCCCAATGGTTTCGGGTGCGGAGAGAGTGACGAGCAGACCCTTTGAAGCAAGAATCTTGCCGAGCCTGAGCAGAGGATTAACATGGCCCTGGCCTGGGTAAGAAACTAGGAAAACATGAGGAAGCACAATTCCTCCATTAGAGATTTGGCCCACCATTGCTGCAAATGTTCTGGAGTTTCGGAAATGATTGAACTCCAAAATTCAGAAGAAACGAACGCAGCAAAAACAAAGTGTTAAAGCAGACTCAAATGTCTAAAGTGAATTGAGTGGTGGAGATCTGATTCAAGCAGTCAGTCCTATTTATAGTATGAGATTTTCATTTTTGTGCCTGTAAGGAAATTTCTTAACTAAACTAAATACAATTTGTGGTTAAAAAAAAGACAACCCAAGGTTAGGTACCTGCCTGAGTAAATTGTAATAATGAAGACGTGGAGCCGGACGTTGGAGAGGATGGGATCGAGTTTAATTCTTGGAATTGTTACGGGGGGGAAAAAAAACAACTTGAAACTGCTGTATAGAAATGGAAAAAGAATGGTCCCTTTTGATTTTTTATTTTTTTTATTTTTTTAAAAAAACTATGCAATCACATCCACGGTAATTTCTTCGGAGTTCCTCCTTACTTGATGTCTTGATGACATTTCCCTTTCATTTACTTCTAAAAAAGACATTTCCCTTTCATTGAAGGACACAATATCCTGAAGCTGGAATGATGAATTCTACGTACTCCCGCATTAAACATTTTAATTGGCAAAATATCATACTCCCCTCAAAACAAAAAAAAAGTAAAATAAGAAAATCTCACATTTATTTTTGAAACTTGTACTAGATCGGTACAAATTTCAAAACTCAAAATGGATTATTATTTTGAGACAAAATGAGTAATTTTAAGAAGAACTAACAATAAAATAAAATGATAGTAACATTTATTTATTTAGTGTGTAGCACTAAAAATAGGATTACTGTAATTGTATGGAACAATTTTTTTTTTTCCAGAGGCTGACCATTTCTATGTGGTCTATTCTACTCTTAGCTCGAAAATCCCAAATTATCAAACAATTAGAGCCGCAACTTTAAAAAGGTGAAAATAAACACCAACAAGGACAAGTTTGATGTCCATTCGTCTCCAATAAAAAAGGACAAGTTTGATCAAACTATAGTTAAGCGGTTTATTGAATGTTGCTGGTAGGAAGATTAAAAAATTGCAAGTTGGAAAACATACACACAACTGAATACAATGTTCGATAGAACTAGATTTGAGTCGATTATTGGATGCAAGTGGGGAAGAAGACAGATCAAACGTCGAAAACCTAGAAAAGTAAGAACAACAATATGCACATTTACAAAATATCAACGATATTTTACAACGAATGTACAAAACTTCCACAATACCCAGATTAGTTATGATTATAGCTTCGTCCACCAGTGTTATACCAAAAACTTTCAAAATGAAACTAGTAAATTATTCTTAAAAAAACAGTAAATTTGGTCCTTAATTTACCTGATCTTTCCTTTCGCCCAAAAAGTCAACAACTGGAAACTACACAGTAGTCAGGGTACATACAATTGTACATGGTCATAAGGTCAAAGATTTCCAAGTTCCGTGCAAACTCATACTCCTTCCGTCCCATAATTATTATCTAGTTTAAGTTTTTATTTTTAATTCAAATTATATTAAAAGTGAAATGACAAACTGAACAATAATTTTGGAATAATGGGAGTATAAATTTTGGGAGACTCGTCCGTCTCGGTCATTAGTCATTACTACTTCGTGTAATAAGATTTGTTCACGTGAGTTGTGCTTGACTGATGTTCTTAATCTCTTTCATCACCCAAAAAAAAAAATAAATAAAAATTGTTCTTAATCTCTGATGAATTGTCTAATTTGTATTTTCTTTATTGTAACATTAACAGAAGAACAATATTGGTGAGTCGGATTAGATTCAGATTTTTTATATTCAAGTTGTCTCAAAAAAATTGTTTATATTGAATTTTCAAATTTTTATTAAAATTAATACAAATATCAAAATTTAAAGTGGATTATTTTTTTGGAAGAAAAGGTAGCAACATTTTATATTGTTGTTATTGCGTTTGTGTGACCCTTTTACCCGATTCGGCAAGTTACGTACATACTGAATAATTAATAGGTATTATATATAAGTAATATATAATATTATTATTGGAAATGTCGCTAAACACCTTTTACTTTAGAAGAAAACTGCTTAATTGTATTCTTTTTTTTTTTTTTGCATCAACACATTCATTATACAATCATAATCTTTTAATCTGTTGCAAAAATTTTTTAACAAAATTATATTTTTGCCCTTTTCTTTTTAATCTCTAAATGTCCAATCTTAAGTAGTACAATGACTATACAATACTCCATCCGTCCCATAATTATTATCCAGTTTTACTCAAATGAAAGATTTTATTTTTAGTCAAACTTAACTATATTTTACCTTGAACAATCGGATATACCCCTACATAAGTAACTGTTTAACCACAAAGATTTTATGCATAATGTTTTTTATTAAGGACAAATGTGTAACTTAATCCATAAAAAGTCAAATTGGACAATAATTTTGGGATAAGATTTTTGGAGTAAAGTGGACAATAATTATGGAACGGAGGGAGTAATATTTATCCTGATTCATTGATTTTCTCTCGACTACCTTCACTTGATCTTACGTGGCTTTTAAAGAAGGAATAATATAATAAAATCATAATGACTTTTGCCTAAATTATTGCCGTATTTTATAGGTTCGATCAATTAATACTACAATACAATGATTGATCGATCAAGGTAATATTTGTTACCATGTATGCACATATACAAACGCGAGGTTTTTTTTTTTTTTTTTTTTAAGAAAACGGCAACGGCCGGGCTGAAATTCTTTGGTTGGCACGAGACAAAATTTTACATAATTTATGTTTCTTTTATTTTTTCGACTACATAATTATCATTCATCATTACTAGTCTGTAAACAGTAGACACATCATGACTATGTTATTTCTACATAATTGATCATTATATATTTTGTACTCCCTCCGTCCCATAATTATTATCATGTTTGAGTTTTCATTTTTAGTTCAAATTGTATGGAAAAAATTGTTCTTAATCTCTTTCCCATAATTATTTCTACGAAGGGAGTACTACTTTTTAGCAGTTGTTATTTTTTTCCACTATAAATTATTTACGATATTTCATCGTTAGGATAAAAAATCCCATGTCATTTTCGTGAAAGATCTGTCATTTATTTAAAAATAACTCATTTATTGTTAATCGATTTTGAGATGAAAGACCAAGCGGCCACTTTCTCTCGACAGGTTGAACTAAAAAAAGACCTGGTTCAGTTTTTTTTCCCCCATTATGTGTTTGCCACTCGAATGGTATTTTGCTAAAAAAATTTCCTTTGAAATTAAAATAGAAAAAGGAATAGAAGGAGTTATGATTCATAATTCATTTTCGTGTGTTTGTGTGTGAAACAAAATTACCATCTAGAAGCCGGAAACGTTTGGATACAATTACAAGTTACAGCAAAGTACTAGTAAAATATTAAACATGACCAATTATATTGATCGCTGGATTAATCGATCACATTTGCAAAGTCTAAAATTGAGTGTGAAATTGTGATTTTCCGAGTTGGAAGTCAAATTGCACAGTTAGTCCTGTTTTAAACCTCATCTGTAGAGCGCGGCTGTCAACTCCAGGTCATTAATTATCATAATATACGTGGAAATGGATGTTGAACTTATTGAAATGATTTATACCTCTGACACTAATCATCCTACCTAACAATTGCCATCTGTACAAAGGAAGACCTTGCCCTCATTTCTCAATTAGCAGACTCCCCACCAATTGGGAAAAAATATAATATTTGGATTGTTTTTTATGTGTTTTTTTTTATTAAGAATGTAAAAAATTATTATATTAAAAATATAGGAATGTAAAAAAGTATACTGGGATGAGACATATATTAATTAAAAATTCTGAAAAAAAACGAATGAAAAAAACAAACCAAACAGAAAAAATTTTCAAATTGGAATTCATTTGTACATTCTCTATTTTCTTAAAAATAATCCACTTCATTTATTCAATCAAAAGATTTTCAGAGTAAATTAATTAAAGAGTTTGAAAGTTCAAACGACCAATAAAGTTTCTTTTTTTTTTAAAAAAAAAAAACTTATTATCAAAATGATATAAGTTTAGACTTGAAAGACTAGTAATGGAAGATGAGTGAGAAAAATATATGAATGCTAATATTCTCAAGTCTCAACCATGGCTCCACCATTACAAATTATTTCTCATGCAAAATGACGTCCAGCTAATCTACTACCGCTAACGTGTTTACATTGAAAATAATTTCATCCCGAGCACATGTAAATTAACTACTCATTAGTCATTACTCAAAAGGAATTAAAATGTGATCGTGAGTTCATGAAACCGAAATTAAACAAAAACCCGTGAAGATCATATCTATAATCTGATTTCACCTTTCATACATTTAAACTGAAGATTCATTAACCCTAATAAATCCCTCGAATATATATATATATATATATATATATATATATATATATGTATGTGTGTGTATGGAAAGAGGATTGAAATTTTATCAAACACATGTAACAAGCCGATAATAAACTAAAGAGATTGTGGTAAGATGTAAGGAACTCTTCCATCTTTAATCATAAGTTAAAAATTTATATATTGTCACAAAAGTGGAGCAACTTTAGAATTCTTTGACTAATTATCTCACTCATTAAAGTGCTTATAATTAAAAAGAAAAATTAGTTACTATTGTCCGTAAACAACATCCTTCAATTTCAATAGAGTCACTACATAATCCACTTTATGTTATTCAAAGCCTAGCTATATACTGTAGTACTTTTGCCGTTGTGTACAAATGAAAACTACAAAGAATTAACAGATTCGAATTCAACCCATTAGAGCTGAGATCCGAGTGGAAGATCTAATTCCAATTTCCGCCAGTGTTCTCTTTTATTTCGACTTCCGATATCTTGGAAACTACTATATGTTCTCAAAACACCGCCTACAGTCTTTTGGGAGGATTTGACAAACTAAAGAAAGTAAAAAGTATGTATGCCCAGCTCTTGAAATGAGTAATCTATTCAAGTGATAATTTACATTTATTAAAAAAAACTTAATTTGAACTTTAATATTAACAATTTACTGGTCTAGTTCGCTGCATCTGTATTTTCAACTAATTTTTTTGTTTTTGTTTTTTTTTTACACGTTGCATATGAAAATTCTCAGGTTGACCAACTATTGGTAAAGTCAAAAGTGATATTTTAGATATTTCAAATTTTCAATTATTCAAAAATATAAAAATAAAAATTTGATAAAATAATATTAAAAATAGAATATTAACTCCCAATTAATTAAAAATTAAAAAATTTCAAAGCTGAGAACTCTCAAATGTAATGTGCTAAAAAAGTTAAAAGGACTAAATTAGTTAAAATCACAAATATAACTGGTT